AGGCGGAGCTCTAGAACATGTACCCCAGAAATTCTCTGATATAAGGACCGTTTCTTCTCCCGGACTTTGTTGTATGTTTTCTCTCCAAGTCTATTTTATACGGTCTCGGGAGCGGAAGGTAGAGCTTAAAAAGGAAAGAACAACCCTGACTTCTCTACACAACTTAGTCTCGCCTTCGAAAAAACATGTTTGTGTCTAAGAGGGCCTATGAAACTCACCCCAAAAAACTATGTCCTTGTTCAACAGAGATCCTCCTGGCAGACACTTCCACGTGATCACCTTGACCCCGGAGCAGCACAGACAACTTGTCACTGGAAGTCAGCTCACCCTGACCACCTCCTTCGCCGCGGGCCACTCCCACAAACTGGTGGCATTCTATGACCCCCACAGACAGGGCTACTTCTACCGTACATGTGACGGTCAACCTAACTGCTGGGACGGACATCAGCACAACCTGGAGCGTTACTAGTTGCCCCATGCTTATGGGTCAGCTAAACACAACCCAGACAACTACAGTGGAGTCCGTTTAAACCTAAGACAGTTAATTCGAAAATAGCGGTAAACCGAAAGAAAAAGAAAATCCCCGATTTTTTTTCTTCTCTTTGAGCAACATCTCTAAATTGAAAACTCGACTTTACCGAAGAAAACACAGCTGTTCCACATACTTCGGTTTAAGCGGACTCCACAGTCACTCATTGAAGACGCAGCTTTCTGGGAAAATCTAACCGCCATTTTTGAGAGAAACATCAATTCTTGAGAACAAAATCTTGAACATCTTGAATACGGTTTTCTCTGTGGCAGAATGGCTTACGTCATAGGGATCCCGGAGTGAACCTCTCTTGCATATTATTTTCACTTAGCCTTCTCGCTCGTTTTCAATGAGTTGACAAACGTATAGACATTTTACATTGTACCCTTACCTCAAACCCCAAACAACAAAAAACCCTATCCTACCCTTTACCGAGATATGAACATTACAGATACCCATACTACTCAGAATACTATGCCTGTGAATGAAGTCGTTTTTGGGATGAAGTGTCATTGTCACTGAAATCTGTTTCTGAAAACAACCCATATTATATTTTAAGAACAAACAACGAGCGACTATAAATCATATACGTATACGCATTTCGGAAGAGAATAGTCTAAAATGTCTTGTGATCTATGAAAAAAAGGTTTTGCCAAGAAAAAAAAATAGATTGTAATAATAGATAGCGTACTTTGTATAGTGCATGCTCGCCGAATAGCAAGCTCCACCCGCTTTACAATTTTTTTTATTATCCTTGCAGACCTGATAGCGTTCTGGAACAATGTGAACTTTCTGGGAAACATACAGTACATAATAATAATAATAATAATAATAATAATAATAATAATAATAATAATAATAATAATAATAATAATAATAATAATATAAAAACCAGAAACATTTTCACTATTCTATATTAATTTGTTCAAGATCAGATAAAATTGCAATATTGTACAAGAAGCAAAATATAAATTTAGTGGTCGTATGCTTCGTTTTAATTTCTGTGTGTTTTTTTTTAGTCTGAACGTCACAGCGAAAGCGAACATCAAGATCAAAAACAATGAAAAGTGAATAAATCTTCGTCGGTGTCCCAAAGGTCGTTATGTGTAAAATTGTGTGTTTTTTAATGT